TGAAATTATTTTAAAATTTTTACATATTACTGATTAATTATATGCTATATTTTTATTTTAGCTTAGAAATAGGGGGGCTAAGCTTAATAAAAATTTTATATAATTATAAAAAACATATAAAAAAATATTTTAGTGCTCAAATTTGAACGCTAAACGGTTTAAGGGATAAGTAGAAAGAATAATATCTTCTCCGAAAATTAGAATTTCAAAATTTGTTAATATATAACTAGTCAATAACTAGTAGTTAATAACTGGGTATAATGTTAACAAATTTTGAAATTCTGGGTTCTAGAAAAAATATTATTCTTTTTACTTATAAGTTGGGATGGACAGAATTTAATTCTGAACAACTTTAATTAAAGCTTAAAAATAAAAATTATGCTCATTTGTAACCAAACTCATTTCTAGCTTTGTGGCTGCTTTAGCAATACAAGAACCAATATTGTAATTAGGCTTTATGATAACTATAAATAGTGCAAGAGCCTTATATATAAGTTGAAACCAGTTTTAATAATTTGGGTTTATTATGCAAATTTTGTAATATTTTAGAATTTATTAAAATTTAATTGAATTAAATTCTAAAATATTACAAAACTTACGTGATAAACCTGAATTATTAAAACTGGTTTCAACCTCTAGCTTTATATTTGGTGATTAAGCACCATGACTATGATAGCAGTACAAGAATCTTATACTATGATTAGGCTTAATAGATGCAATAGCAATGCAAGAATCTTATGTGATTAGGCTCTATGGCTGTTACAGATAGTGCAAGAACCTCATATTTAGTGATTAAGCTCTACAACTACAATAGCAGTACAAGAACCTTATATTGTAATTAGGTTCTGTGGCTACTATAGCTATGAACTTATATTGTAATTAGGCTCTATAGTTATTGCTAATAGTGCAAGAAACTTATTTTTAGAAAAAAGTTTACTATTATGCATATATTTTTGGCATGTAAATTCAAAATAAAGTTTCATAGTAATGCATACATATCGAATTATGAAATCAAAAGTCAATTTAACTTATTGGGTCTTATAAATACAACCCAAATATAATAAAAAAGTTTTGGGAGCATGCTAAAAATAATCAGATTGATTAGTTTGATCAGAATAATCAGAACAGATAAATAAAATCTAATCTTATAAAATTTTTATATAAAAATCCTTTCTGTTTTAGTTTAAAAAAAAATGTAGCAGATTATAAGTAAGATTGCATCCAATAAATAAGATATCTAATACTAATTATAAACTTTATTATAAAATAATCTGCTGCATATTGGCAAAGAAAGATTAGAGAAAGATAATTAGTTAATAGTATTACCAATCTATCTTATAATATATGCAAACTTAGTAAACTTAAGATCTTGTATGATATTAAATAATTAAATAAAATAACAGTAATAAAAAAAAAAGAAAAAATTAGTGCTAGACTTTTTAGTTTGAATAAATACTAGTTAAGCTGAATCTGTATCTTTATTTCATAATATAATTTATATATATAATCTACTATTAATATATAAAATAAATTTAAAAATATATTGTTAAAATATCCAACATAAGAGCCTATTGAGTAGCTCTGAAATATCATAAAGAAAAACAAATAAATAAAATAAAACAAAATATAATAAATATCCATTATATCTCTATAGTATTTTTTGTCTCTGCTTATTTATAATAAAAATGAATATTTTATATTTATCTTTTAACTTTAATTCTATTTGATAAAATATCTAACATTATATAATTCCTTTTCAATTTCTTCTAATTTCTGATAATAAAATAAATACTATATATTTATCTTTTTTGATACTAGTTTTATTGAGATAATAATATTCAAAACTATATACTCTATTCAATTGATATAATCTATCTTTGCAAGCTGAGTTTTAATAATAAATTAATGCCCTATATTATAATTCCGTCAAATAATAATTTCTAATATTATACATATATTTAATGATTATTATCAGTTTAAACTATTGATCAAATCATCTATATCAAAATCTTTATTTCTATGCACAATATCTTCAATTGGAAATTCATTAGACTTCAGTTTTGAAGACAAAGATATAAAATTTTCAATTTCTAAATTTAATGAGTTTTTATTAACAGAATCATCTATTAAATTAGAAGGCTCTTCTGTGTTTTTTTCTATATCTTCTTCTATATCTTCAACAAATTCTTCTAAAAAAGAAGCTGTGTTATCATAAAATAAATTAGTACTATTATTTATAGAGCTTGCAATTTTATTAAAAACTGATAAAAAGTCTTCTTGGCCAATATTTTGGTTAATATAATTAAGTTCCAAATTGGTATTTTCTACTAAAAATAAATATATTTAGGCTATTAACTCTAGTTGGTCAATGCTTAATCTAAAAATAATATTTAAAGCTAATAATGTAAAAGTTATAAATATATAAATAAAATAATATAATAAACATACTTAGTCTGTTTTTTTCCCAAATACTATCCTAGTTTACTAAAGATACATTCACATGCAGTATTGTAAGAGGAAATAGAATGTATTCATATAGTAAGAGTTTTAATATAGTCTTCATTTTTTTTAAGTTTTATAGACATCTATCAATTAATTACTATCTCAGCAGATTTAACAAATTTGTTTGCAAAGAGGTCTTCTTAACTTCTGCATAAATTTATTTGAGTCCTTAAAAGTTTTGCACTTATTTGACCACCACCTAATTGTTTTTATATTTCTATAGCTCTTTTAAAAACATAATTTTTGTATATACTATTATCAAGAAAATCTTCTACTATAAAAAAAAAAAGAAGTTTAATACATGTTTAAAACAAATTGAATATCTGTTAAACTTTAAAATACCCTGGTAGGTTGGGTTTAAAAAAAATACTTAAAGATATAATTTCATATCAAATTCTTTCTATCACTTATTGTGAATTATGATGCAATTATAACAAAACTGTCTGTTATATAGAACAGTAATTTCTTAAATTAAAATAGCTATTTTTACTAGCTCAATAAATATATCTACCAACAAGATGGTTCAAAACTCTAAGCTTTTTATGGCCTGTTTTACTGAGCCAAGAATATTTCACAATTGTTCAATATTAATCCAAAACTAATGATCATTAATTAAACTCTTTACAGTATTCATATGATTAAAAGCTTAAAGTTCTTGTTCTAAAATCTATTAAAATTGATTGTATAAAAAAGAAAAAATAATTGAGCCGTGAATGCAATTTGTTGTAAATATATGTATATAAATAACTTGACAACAAATCATAGTCTTTTTCAAAAAAAAAAATTATAATTAAGGCTACACAAACTTATATAATTATTTTTTATATTAGTAAATTATATGTATTCAAAGCTCTTAGATGCATATAACTATAATTATAGTATATAATATAATTCTATAATCATATTGCTATTTTTCACTAAAATATATAATATTTATTAGCAATTAATTTTCAAATAATTATAACAACAAGTGCACTTATCCAATATTATTTGTAAAGTTCAATATATTCGATTCTCTAAAGGTTATTCTTTTTCTTAGAATACTCAACCAACTATTATTAGTTATTATTAGTTTGAAAAACTAAAATGGTAGTTATCCATTTAAGAATTGCTCCAAAGTTAAACATATTGTTATATAGTCTTTGATGAACTTCTAAACTTAGTAAAGGAAATGCAAATCAACAATAAATTGTATAATAGAATAAAAGTGCAAAAGAAAAATAGAAATATATTTTGAACTGGTTATGTGATTATACAATTAGACAGAATTATAATAGGAATAATAAAGTTAATTATTGTAACAATTATATTAAAATATGGAGATAGAAAAGTATATAAATAATGAATATAAATAAAGAGATAAAGTTAGTCTTTTAACTCATAATAAAGAGAATAAAATATTAAAGAAAATATTAATGCATTAAAGTTGATTTGGTATGTGTTTTGTATCAAGCAAGGCCTTTATTATTCAAGCAACTATTATTATTATCTATTCTGTAGTACATATAGTTAAAGTAAAGTATTCTTATAAATCACCATTATCAGTGTGTTATAATTTATTTTTTAGTATGAATATTATTTAATCTAATAAGCTTTATTTGTTAAGATTTCTTATATGCCGCATAGTCAGATTACTAAAAGTATTTCTAATTTATTAAAAGAAATTCATTCAATAATATCATCATATTATATTGCTTTAAGTTAAAATTCTTAAATGCAATTATCACTGTTCAAACTTTATCTATTCTATTTCTTGTTGAATTAAGAAAAATTCTTTAAATTATAATAAAACTTAAAAAAAAAATAACAGTGCTAAAATCTTCTATCGAATTAAAACAATATACTAGAATTCAGAATTAAAATCAGAAAACCTTATTTCTTTTTTTGAATTATAATTTGAAAATTTTATTTATTTTACAAAATGCAAAGTTTTTTTATTAATTTTGAAACCCATTACTTACTGATTTAATATTTGCTTCATTACATAATATATATTCACAAAAATCCTATATAGTTGACTACCGAGTTTTAGTTGTTGATTTTAAATTTCTACTGATAGTAGAAGAAAATAATTTTTTTTCTCTAAAGGTAGCACTAGCAAAATATGAACTTTTAAAAAAGCTTATTCCTTATTCTATAGAGTTTAGCAAACAAATTTGCCTATATAATTATTATAAATAAATCACTGATCTACTTTTTTAATTATTTAAAATATTTAAATAAAATTTAACATAATAATATTTGAAAATAAGGATTAT